TGGTACCTAGAATCCTTCCCACTTCACTTCTGCAGAGTGGAGACAAGGCCCCAGGCATGGGCTCCCAATCTCAGAACCAAGAATCCCTGTTGCCCCAGCTCTACAACATACAGCACAGGGCCACACCTTCTGCTCAAATACTTCTCAGGTTGGAGGCAGGTGATGAAGAGAACCTCAGAGCCGTGGAGAAGAGGTGGAGATATTTAGGAAACCCAGCACAGAAACAGGGCTTGTTTCTAGGATATGGCATACTCGTTTCTAGGATATAGCAAATTGGAGGCCTCAGCTTCCTGTTTTAGGGCATACATTTGCTGAATGAATAAATGAATTAGGCTTTTCATCATGCTGCAAAGACATAGCTGAGCAGTGACCCAAAGTGGCACCTTGGGGAGAAATAGGGGAGGGAGGACTTGGCCAGCTGGTACCAAAATAAGCCCTGAGCCTAAGGCAGGCAGTAACCCTATAACGTTGCTACTCAAAGTGTAGCCTGTAAAGGGCAGCATTAGTATCACCTGGAAGCTTGTTAGAAATGCAGAATCTCAGGCCCTTTCCCAGGGATACAGGATCCAAATCTGCATTTTAACATCCTCAATGATGCTTATGTATGTTAAAGCTTGAGAAGCACTGCCTCAGGATACACACACATATCAAGTCAAAGCTAGTGCTCCTCACTTCCATTAAACCATAAACACATTAAACCATAAAGACTCTTCACCACTCCAAAATGTTGCAGGGAAAGAGCTTTGAGAAGAACAGGCTAGATGTGATTTGCCCAGGCCTCATCTTTGTCTGCACAGGCTGAGCCCAGCACCTCCCAAAGGGTAGGAGGTGGGGGTTAATGCCCTTGAGCACAGTCACTAGTTGTATAGAGTGGAGAATCGACCGAAAGAGAACACAAGAGAGGAAATACTCCTAAAATGTGGTTTGGCCAAGTAACAGCAACATCAATCACAGTCATTTGTAAAGATTCTTTACTACATGTGCTTAATTATCAAGCAGGAATCATGATTAAGAAAATCATTTAATGTGCAGCCAATTACTTTGAAAAGGTTTATTTGATTACATGATTGGCAATCTTAAACTCATAGTCAAGGCTAAACTTTGAATTCAGTCTTTAAAGCTCTAGGATATACACGTAAAAAGTTGCCTGCTAGAACTTGGAAAAAGGGAAGGAGCTTTTCCCTCTAAATCTTGGCTGTAGTTTTGGTGAAAAAGAAAAGGTCTTTAAGCACTGCTGGGAGGGGGAGAATGCTTGTCATGGGCACCGGACACCATTCATCTTTCTAGATCCAACTAGAGCGTCCCATCCTTGAGAAGTTTTCCCAGAAGCCATCCTTCCTTATTCTATTTCCCATGGTGCTTTCTTTAGACTTCTATTATGGCTTTTAGGGAGGTAGGAGAACACAGGTTAGGAGCCCAGACTTTGCAGCTTAACCAGATACCATTTACCATTGAGTCAATTCCGACTCATGGTGACCTCATGTGTGTCAGAGTAGAACTGTGCCCACAGAGTTTTCAGTGGCTGATATTTTAGAAGTAGACTGCCGGGCTTTCTTTCGAGGCAACTTTGGGTGGACTCCAACTTACAACTTTCAGGTTAGCAACCGAGTGTGTTAACCTCAGAGGAGGTCCAAATGCCTCCTCTGAGATTACTAGTGTGTGACCTTGGCCAAGTGACCCTCATTCCACAGCTGTAAGATGTAGGAACCTATATCATAGATTGTTTAAAGATTACAGGAGACAATGCATATAAAATACTACAGTGTCTGGCACAAAATAATCAATATTAGCTGTTATTATTCGCACTTCACAGAGGCTGACTTTGATTAGATTTGATTGTGCATATGTCTGTCTTTCCACTAGACTGTGAGCAAACTGTTTATATCTCAAGAATCTGGCACAGGGACTTACAAATTGTAATGCACAATAATATTTGTCAAGATCAGTGTGAAGGTATGTCAGGAAAAGGAAAGGGAGGGTGCTGGAAACAAACTTATTGTACTTTATGATTTTAGCCAGGGCCAGCTTCTGCAGTGTTTATCTTCCATTCCAGAGTACATTGTCTCAGACAGCAAGGTTGCTATAAAGTGGGCCTAGGGAGACACTATTTATGGAACCAGAGAGCAAGCTATTGAGCTGTGGTATATCTGAAATCTCCAGGGTTGTACAGTTTAGCCCCTGGCTGAGTGGGGAACAGTGGCTGAAGTTCAGCCAGAGTCACAATTGTCCAACCGAAGTGACCTGACAGGGGCCACATTAGCTCTGAGGGTCATCCACCTAGAAGGTGTATCCACTTAGAGGCAATGTCTTTATAGACTGCACAGAACAGTTACATTTCCCATCCAGGAGCCTGACTCCAAACTAAAAAGTCCCCTTTTAAATCAGCCTCCTGACTCTTGGATAAACATAAGCTAAAATAATCCTTAATTTACTAAATCTTTATCGAGTGCCCATTAAGTGCACTCGAGACTGCAGAAGGGAAGGTGAATAAGAAATTACAGTCTGGTGGGGGGAGAGGGAGGCAGGAGAGGAGCAATGCAGACGGCCGGAATGTGAACAAGAAAGCAGGTAACTGTACACAGCACAGTGAACGCCACTGTAGGTGTAAGTGGTGAGGGTCCTAGTCTAGGCTCGAAGAGTTGGAGAAGGCTTAAAGGGCAGAGTAACAGCCAAGATGAGGCTGGAAGGAGGGATCTGATCGTGACAAGTAACATTTATTGAGCACTTACCACGCATCAGGCCCCATTTTAAGAACTTTGCATGAATCCCTCATTTAGTTCTTACAATAACCCTATGAGGTAGATATCGTTATCTTCATTTTACAGATGAGCAAAATGAGGCACACAGCTGGATTCAAACCCAGGCATTCTGGCTCCAGATGAAGGGGAAAGAGAAGACCAGATAGGCCTTTAAGGCAGAGGAAAGTGCCTTGTAACAGTCTGAGGGTGAGGAAAAGAACAAGCACCTTTGGGGAACTTGAAATGGTTTAGTGAGGCGCATGGGGGTGGGGATCGAAGTTCAGGGTTGACTGGGTTCACTCTGCAGGCTACAAAGGAAACCAGAGGCAGAGGATTTCCGGTCTAATCTAGACTTTTGACAACTGGCTGTGTGATCCATGTCACCTAACCCATCCCGGCCTCAGTTTCTAGCTTTTATAAAAGGGAGTAGTAACAATACCTGCTTTTCTACCACAGAGAATTTCCATGAACACTGAATGAGAAAAATGTATGGGAAAGTACAAATTGCTCCACAAACTTGAGATTTCATCACCCTCACTTGCCCAATAACTTCAAAGATTTACAAACTCAGAATCAATAGTGCCAGGCTCCAGGTAGGCAGGCCTTAGGAGCAGAGCAACTGTGGATAGTAGTGGAAAAGCCCTCAGGCCCTGAGTCAGGCAAATTCACCTCATACTAACTGTATAATCCCAAGGCAAGTTACCACCCCCGCCACAGTACCTCAACTTCCGTATCTGGAAAATGGGAATAATAATGACAGTACAACACACAGTTGATATGAGGAATAAATAACACACTTAACACACTTAGAACAGAGCCCAGTACTGAGTAAAGACTTAGTAAACGTTAACTGCCCTCATTATTACAATTATTAAAAAATGTGTTGGCTACTCATCTTATTCTTCCATGTTTCAAATGTAATAAAAACATCTGGATATATTAGAAGCTAGAGATGACAAAGAAGAGGGTTGGGAACCCTCCACCCCAGAGGACTGTCTCCTGGGCTCTGGCCGCCCCACACTGCTGCAGAGATTCTTCCTGGCTCTCACGGGCTGCCAAGTAGCTGGCTATCCCTCCTGACAGAAAATGCCCAAAAGAGGTAAAAGACAGACTCTACACACCATCTGTGCAAACCAGGCTGCTCTTGTAGTTTTTTCGACAAAATATAAATGTAGTCAGTTAGATATGCCCTGCTCTTTTAAGACAGAACACTTTCTCTTCCCTCTACCTTCTTCCTCCCTCTCCACCACACACAGACAGACACACACACAAACACGCTCCCACACATCCCAAGAAACTTCTCAGCCTTTTGCAAGACATACGACTCTTTAGTCCTGTTGTAACAGCCTCTTGCCACATTAACTTCTCTGCTTTACTCCGGCAAAGAAGTCTTCGCTGATTTCACAACAGCAAACCGTGCAGAAACTTGAGACAAAACAAATCTACACACGGAGTCTAGCATCTTTAAGCAAACACGCTGAGCCACCAACCGGCAAGATGACTCCAGACAGTCGATAAGCCAGCTGCCTCTTAATAAACTACAAGGGGACTGAAGAACTCAAAAACCCAGCTCTGAATACAAATCGATAATGAATATTCATGGACTCTTTCAGCTAGCTCAAGAGCCACCCTTGACAACAACCCTGAGCTTTGCTCCCTAAAAAGTTTCTCAAAGTTCTTTCTCTACCTCCTATTAAAAGGAAGCGGGTGGGAAAGTTCATTCAGGGCTTTTTTTGTCTCTTGCTCTTTTGAGTACTTGCTTTTGGTCGGGCTTGTTTTCTCTCTCTCGCTCTTTTTTTCTTAAGAATTCAGATCAAAGCAGTTTTGCTCTTACCCCTTCTCCCTTCCATAAGTGGCATCTTTTGTTTTCTTCCTCTTTTCTCGTTTTTTTCTTTTTCCAGCCTCCGCCAGCTCTGGTCCGTCTCAGAGAGAGAGAGGTACTCAAGGAACAGATATAACAGACCTCAGGCTCGTGGGAGGAGCTAAATTAGCCGGCCTCATTTCGGAAGGAACTTCAAATCCTATTTCTTTTTCATTGACTAGAAAGGACAGATTGGCTGAGAAGTCCAGCAGCTCATTTCCCTAAAGCTACATCACGACTTCCCCGGGTTGTAGCTTTTTTTATTCTGAAGCAGTGTGTGTTCCAGTCTCTCTCTCTGTTACAGAAGTGGTTTTTTTTTTCCTTGAAAATTTTGTCTTGGCTGCAAGCTAAAAAGCTATTTATTTATTGCAATTGAAGGCAGAAAACAAGAAATTTGTTACCTTGATACCCACTGGGAAAACCGTGAGAGGCAAGAGAAGCAAGAACAATTCTTCCAGCCCCAAAAGCTGATCTCTTCTGGCTCCCTGATGAGCAATCCCTTTTCATGGCTCATTAGACCAGAAGAGCAATGGGTCACCCACTGAACACCGCTGCAGGAGAAGCAGAGTTACTGACTGGAAGGCCAGGCGTACTTCAGAGGAGGCTGCTTGCCCAGGAACCTCTGTGTGGCTGTGACTCGAAGCAAGTCATTCACCTTGTCCTAACTTTGGCTTCCTACTTCTAAAGTCTTATGAACACAAACTGCCCTACCTAGACTTTGCCAAGATGACCCAAATGCAGATGAGAAGCTGACCAAAACATTTTTTGAATGTGCATACGAAGTTATTTTGAAATCAGGACAAGGGAGGTAAGTCCTAAAGAGAGAGAGGCACTGCAAACATGTGAGGACCAAGACCGCTTGGGCAGCTTCTCCCTACACAAGGCTGTCACAAAGTTTAGAATTTTAGATTTGAAAGTGACCTAGTCAAACCGAAGGTTTTGCAATAGAGGCATGGAGAAGTTAAATCACTTGCTCATGTGTCACACACAGAACAGGAAGTTGGTCTCTCTCATTCACTACAATGCTCCCAGCACCTAATACACTTTCAGTGTAGGCTCTTAGTAGAAATTTGATGAATGATTGAATTAAAGAATAGCAGCAAAGCAAGAATGTGAATCTGGTTTTCTGATTCCTAGCTCATGCTTTGTTTACTGTGATACGTTGCCTTTCCAGCATGAGGATTTGAGTCTAAAGCAAATTACACCATAAGACGTTGTTCTTCATATAAACCATTAAATTTGTGACCATTAAGGATTGGTTTTGACTCTATATAGAAAATCTATTCTCCATTAGACTTTCAATCATACTTTAATAAGGGCAGGGGCTGATTTTTTAATTTCCGTACCCCTATTACCTCGCACAGTGCCTGGCACATAGTAGGTGCTCAAATAAATGTTTGGTGCTTTGATCTGGGTCTGTATAATGAGATTCTTTATCTTGCTAAATGATTATTTTGCAATTGTAATAAAAACTAATTTATAATAACAACTAATTATACTAAATGAAAAATTCAAGGGTGCCCTCTACAGAGTCATTCTAGACTCTACTTCTAATAAAGAATATTGGCTTGATATTTGCCCTGTTGTGGTAAAATTGTTTTTAGGTAATGTGATGGAACATTCTTAGAGAGCAACAATTTTATTTTATTTTGTTTTTACTATTTTGGTATTATTATTTGAAAAAGAGCATGTCCACAAAACATCCCATGAACTGCAGAATGGAAACTAGACCATCAAAACTAGAAAGAGTAAAGAATGATCAATAGGTAGATGTAGAGTGGGTGAGGGGTAAGGCGAGAGAAACAAATAGTTTAGCATGTCAGTGAGAGCCCAACTTCTGTACTTATAAAGAGCCTCAACAGTTTTCTATGTCCAACAACTAAAACTCAAAGCAACTCCTACCAAGTTCTGCTATAACATATTGCAGACTGAAGCTTACTTTGACAATTGACTCATTCTCTTTCAATTTCATCATAGAAAGAGAGATGAAATGAATCAATCAAAAGTAAAGCGTTCTAGTGTCCAACTCCTTATCCAACCAGAAGAGATAAAATTCATTATAAAAACTAGCACTTTATAAAAAATGAAGTTTATCTGAGCTGAATATACAGTCATATGAACACAGTTAAGCCACATTTTATCCTCATAATAACCCAATGAGTTAGGCATTATTATTATCCCCATTTTATAGATGAGGACACAGAATCTCAGAAAGATGAAGTAACTTGGTCAAATTTGCACAGCTAGTAAGTGGCAGAGCTGATATTTGAACCCAGATTAGTCTGACTTCAATTCAGTACACTTGTGCTTATCCACAGCACTACATGCTTAGGGCTTGTTCCCCTGTCACCTTTCAGGTTTTTTAGCTACCAATTTCATCCCCTCTAAAGCATCCTCCACACTAATCTTTCTATTTATTTGATAATGTCATTCTTACACTTAAAAATTCTCAGTCTCTAGAACCCAAAGTCGAGAAGGGAGAATGTTGCCATGTAGTGGGGTTGGTAACCAATGTCACAAAACATATGTGTACTAACTGTCTGATGAGAAACTAGTTTGTTCTGTAAACCTTCATCTAAAGTACAATTAAAAAAAAAATTCCTAGTCTCCTTATCACCTGTAAAATAAAATTCAAATTCCTACCATGGAATACACAAGGTCTCTCTCTAACTTTCTAGATTTCCTGCCATAGGTCCGTGCACTCCAAAAACTAATTATAATTCCAGAACTTGCATTCCTTTCATGACTTTCCACTTGTACGAGCTATTCCCTCTGTCCAGAATGCACTTTTCCCTCTTGGCCATATACCTGGTCCTCCTACATATGTTTCATACCTCAGCTTAAATACCCAGTCCTCTGTAAAGTTTTGCCTGACCCATAATACACACACACATACACTGTACTGACCTATAGAAAAGATTCCAATCGTGTTATCATGATGTTTTAAATTTCATTTCTGTCTCAGGCCATAAACCTTGGAGTCACATTTGAATCCTCATTCCCAACAACACAAGTTCAATCCTTTAGCAAATTCTGTAGGTTCTACCTTCAAAATCTATCCAAAAATCTCACCTCTTCTCATTACCTCCATTACCACTACACTGGCCGAAGCCACATAATCTCTCACTTGGATTATTGTAATAGCCTCCTCACTAGTTTCCCAGATTCTACTCTTACTCCTTTTCAGTCCATTCTCAACCCAGCACTCACAGTTATTCAGTTAAAACAGCAACAACAAAAGATCATGTCACTCCTCTGCTCAAAATCTTTTGATGGCTCCCCTATTTCACTTCAAGCAAAACCAAAGTCCTTCCCTACATGGCCTGGTCCCCATCAAATCCCTGACTTCTTTTCCTACTACTCCCCCCATTTCTTGCTCCCTCTGCTCCAGGCTCAGAGTCTTTGTACCTGCTGTTCCCTCTGCCTGGAGTGTCATTTTTCCAGATACTCACATGCTCATTCCCTTATTCCCTTTAGGGCTTTTCCTCAATTATTACCTTCTACCCCAGCAATAAGATTATGATCTCTAAATACTATCTTCTACTAAAAGGAACAAGGATTTTTCAGGAAAATAGCTGATTCCAGGTCTATGGCAGGATATTTGTAAGATAAGCCTGGAACATCTTGTCATACCAAAAAGTAAGTAAGCAATAAAATATTACCAGGGTCAAAAGGACTCAGGAGCCAATTTCAAGTGGCTCCCACTAGTTAAAATAGTAAAAATTTGAGCAGCAATAAAAAATAACAGGTGCAGTGGTTTGAGACACATCAGATATGTTGAAATCTATGTGTTCATAAAAATACTAAAAGAAGTAACTGTTCACCTTTGGAATAATTAATTATTCCAAAAACAAGTAAATAAAGGGGAAAATATAAACCAGCTAATAAAGGAATAAAATTGATAGCATTAGAGTATCACCATTTTGAAAACACCTAATAAAGTAATGAATCTAAATAATAATTATTAATGGCTACTCACTCATAAAAGGGGGGACAACCATTAATTATGTGCCTTCTGATGGAAGCACACACACATCTTCTGAAGTGATCTTGTCAAAATATTGACGCCTCTAGATCTAACTACCAGTTTACAGGAAATATGAGGCAAGGAAGAGCATGTTAAAAGGCATCACAAGATACAGGTAACAAAGGAATTTAGCAAAGTTTCAGGGTACGAGGTCAACAAACAAAAATCAGTTAGGTTTCTATATACCAGCAGTGAGAAATCTGAAAGGGAAATTAGGGAAACAATTCCATATACAATAGCATTTAAGAGAATAAAATACCTAGGAATAAATCTAACCAAGGAGGTAAGGGCTTATACAATGAAAATTATAAAACACTGCTGAAAGAGATTAAAGAATACTTAAATAAATGGAAAGATGTTCCATGTTCATGGATTGAAAGACTTAACATTGTAAAGATGTCAATACCACCCAACGTGATCTACAGATTCAACGCAATCTCAATCAAAATTCCAATGGCCTTCTTTACAGAAATGGAAAAAATCCTCAACTTTGTATGGAATGGCAAGAGGCCCCAAATAGCTAAAGCAATGTTGAAAGAGAAGGACAAAGTAAGAGGACTCACACTTCCTGATTTTAAAACTTACTATACAGCTACAGCAATCAAGAGAGCCTGGTACTGGTATAACAAAGGACACAAAGACCAATGGAATAGAATTGAGAGTCCAGAAATAAACCCATACATTTATGGTCAACTGATTTTTGGCCAGGGTGCTAAGTCCACTCGATCGGGAAAGAAGAGTCTCTTCAATAAATGATGCTTGGAAAATTGGATTTCCACATGCAGAAAAATGAAACAGGATCCATCCATGTCTCATACCATGTACAAAAACAAATTTAAAATGGATTAAGGTCCTAAATGTGCAAACTAAAACCATAAAATTCTTAGAAGAAAATGCAGGGGCAATGCTGTCAGCCCTCGTTTTTAACAGTGAATTATCTAATATAATAGCAAAAGCACAAACAGCAAAAGACAAAATAAATAAATGGGACCTCATAAAAATTAAAAACTTTTGTTCATCAAAAGACTTTACCTAAAGCTGAAATGACACACTATGGACTGTGAGAATATTTTCAGAAACCATATATCCTACAAGAATCTAATAGTCAAAATATATATAAAACTCCAACAACTTCACAACAAAAAGACAAATAACCCAATCATAAAATAGGCAAAGGACTTGAATAGGCATTTTGCCAAAGAAGACATTGAAATGGCCACCAAGCACATGAAAAGATGCTCATCAACATTAGCCATCAGAGAGATGCATATCAAAACCACAATGAGATACCATTTCACTCCCACTAGGATGGCTAAGATTAAAATAATAATAATAATAAAAATGTTGGAGAGGATGTGGGAAAACTGGAACTCCTATTCATTGCTGGTAGGAATGCAAAATAGTACTGCCCTTGTGGAAAACAGTGTGGAGGTTCCTCAAAATCTAAAAATAGAACTACCATATAACTCAGGAGTTCTACTCCTAAGTATATACCCAAAAGACCTGAAAGCAGAGACTCAAACAGAAATTTGTACACCAATGTTCACTGCAGCACTATGCACAATAATCAAAAGGTGGAAACAATCTAAACGTCCATCAACAGATGAATAGACAAAATGTGGTACATATATACAATGGAATACTACTCAACCAGTAGGGAAAATGAGATCTTGATACATGCTACAATATGGATGGAGCTTGAAGAGCTTATGCTGAGTGAAATAAGTCAATCACAAAAGGACAAATATTGTATGACCTCACTTATATAAAAAGACAAGAAAAGGCTAATGTATAGAGGCCAAAGTTTATTAGTGGTTACC